TCAACAGCTTAAGGTAGGAAACCCTGGGGGGCCGTGGGGGTTGGGGGAGCCGGGGAGCAGCTCCAGGAGGGGAAGGGGAGCGAGTCCTGTGTGATCCCGGGGGATAAACGTGCGTTTTGCCTTCGTTCCTGCCCTGAAACGAGCTGGGGTCTGGTGTTCCCCTGTTAGATACTCTCAGGGGCTTGTTAGAGGATATTTTATGCAAAATCTGACAGAAAATGTTATAGAAAATCCCAATTCCCACAGGGTGGGCTGTTCTCTGCAGGCGGGCGTCCTTTACCCTCCCGTCCCTGGGAGCAGCTGCCGAGCCCAGGCAGGAGCAGCTGCTGGGGGCCCTGCTGACAGCCCAGCACAAACCATCCCACACCAACCACTTCAGAGCTGAAGTTTTTCCAGTGTCGTTGTTGTCACCTGGTCACAGGTCACACCTCACCTTTGGTAGGGGCTGACAGAGAGATGAGACACGTTCACAGGTGATGCCTCTGTGAGGCAGGCACCTCAGGTTCCTCCTGCTCTAAGCTAATGCTCTCAGCTCTGGCTCATCTTTCCCCAAATCTGAGCTTTCAGCAGGCAGATGATATCCCTCTAGACCTGGCAAACCAGCATTATGCTTCGTGGTTTAACTAAAGACTGAGAGGTGTTTTGATTTGTTTTTAACTGAGTTGGTATTGCTTGTGTTTAAAAGTCACTGCAATAGAAGCCTGTCGCTACTTGAAATTCTGACAAGTACAATTAAGCTCTAGGTGAATGTAGTTTAGATACTCATTAGTGGGAAATGAAACCTGAAAAAATGGCAACCAGTGTAGTCACAGATACTTATTTTGCTGACTCCTCTATATTGTGGGGGTAGAGAAAGGCATTAACTGCACAGTGATCGTGCAGCCATCATTGCCTTCTCAAGTTCATTTCACATTTTCTGCAATGTTTCATCTTAGTAAGTTGTAGGAAAGAAATTAAACTGTTATTAATGCAGTGATCACTGATTTTGAGCTTCATTTGCCTGAAAACATGAATCAGAAGCAGTCATGTAGAAAGGACCTGATAATTAAGTAATGAATGCACAGGGCTGATTACTCCTTTGTGTGTCATTCCTGCGTTGCTGGAGGACAGCATGTCAGCCTCTTCCAGAGAGGGAGAATGTGTCTCTGGTTTTGGTGTGGAGAGACCACAGGAAGGAACGGATACTAGAAAAGGTACAGCAGATGGTTGGAAAAAGGAGTATCACAGTGGTACTGCTAGAAAAGCAGAACAGTGACTTGCATGAGTAGTATAAAACTGACACTGCGTAGCTTGGTGGGGTTGTGTGTGTGTGTGTGTGTTCAGAGCTTTCCTCTCCTCCATGCAACGCTTAATTGCTTTTCTTTTCATTAACAGCAGCAGCAGAAGCAGCACTCCTGCCAAGACTCAGGCCCCTCCTCCACACATCTCTCACCATCCCTCAGCCTCCCCGTTCCCCCTCTCCCTGCCCAGCCACAGCCCCCTGCACACCTTCACGCCCACCCTCCAGCCCCCCGCGCACCCCCATCACCCCAATATGTTTGCCCCTCCTACGGCTCTGCCTCCTCCACCTCCATTGACGTCAGGGACACTGCAGGTTCCAGGACATCCAGCTGGTAGTACCTACTCAGGTAAGATCTCTAAGAGCCACTGAGATGATGAAGGGGCTGGAGCATCTGCCTGTGAGGAAAGGCTGAGGGAGCTGGGGCTGTTCAGCTTGGAGAAAGGAGGCTGAGGGGGGATCTCATCAGTGCTGGGGAATATCTCCAGGGGGTGTCAGGAGGATGGGGCCAGACTCTGCTCAGGGGTGTCCAGGGACAGGACAAGGGGCAGTGGGCACAAACTGGAGCACGGGAGGTTGAACCTGAATCTGAGAAAATATTTCTTCACTCTGAGGGTACCAGAGCCCTGGGACAGGCTGCCCAGGGAGGTTGTGGAGCCTCCATCCCTGGAGACATTCCAAACCTGCCTGGATGTGTTCCTGTGGGATCTGCTCTAGGGGATCCTGCTCTAGCAGGGGGTTGGACAGGATGATCTCCAGAGCTCCCTTCCAACAACAACCACTCTGTGATTCTGTGAAGACACAGATAGGTCATGGCCTGAGAATGTCTAGTGCAGCATAGAAAGCCAGTTCCCTTGTTTTAGTCAGAATAATTATTTTTGGTCCATTTGATGATGGGTGTTGGTTGGGTAGAGAGAGGCTGTATTCATTGCTGAATGATGTGGAGTGATATCAAAGCCAAAACATGTATAGACAGACCCAATGACTGCCCTGGGAAGGAATCCTTGTGGAAGACTGTGCTTTTCCATGTGAAGTAAAGCCACACTAGAGTTCATAATGTGCTGACAACAGAATCTGTGACCCCCTTAGTGAATGTCTCTGCTGCAGCTGTGGTCTGTGTTCAGCATTGCTTCCCTGGCTAGAGAGGTCTCCAGAGGCTGGGCACACAGTGCTCCTGAGCTCGTGTAAGTGCAGGATTGGGGGTGAGACACACAGATTTTTATCAGCTGAGAAAACTGTGCTCTTTTATACTTCAGCCGTGGGGACATGCGTCATGTCTGTTCCTCCTGGGTCACTGAGAGGGAACAGGGGGAAGAAAATGGAGCATTATCAGTGTTTGAGTAATGTGGTTTTGTGCCCATGCAGCAGGGTACCTGTGTTAGCAGCAGCCACTTGATGTTTACTCACTCTGGGTTATCCATGCCTCCTCACCTAGGTAGCACTATGTCTCTGTCAGTGCAAATTTAGGGAGAACCCTCAGGTTAATGCTCAGGTTAGTGCTCAGAGGAACACTCAGGTTAATGCTCAGAGGAATGCTGTAGTGAAGACAGGCTTGGTGAGATGGGGGGAGACTTTCTTCTGTCCCTCAGGCCTTTCGGGAAGATCTGAGGGAGCTTTCTTACTCTGTACAATTTTGTGAATGACCACCAGGAAGTTCTAAATGGCAGCATTGCTACCTCAGCCAGCTAGAAGTAAGTGACACGAGGCCTGGAGAAGTCCCTGAGCTCATGGGGGTTGTTCTGCTCTTTGTGTTTCAGAACAAGATCTTCTGCGTCAGGAGCTCAACACGCGGTTTCTGGCCTCGCAGAGCGCGGATCGTGGGGCCTCCCTGGGCCCGCCCCCCTACCTGAGGACCGAGTTCCACCAGCACCAACACCAGCACCAGCACACGCACCAGCACACACACCAGCACACCTTCACGCCTTTCCCTCACGCCATCCCACCCACTGCCATCATGCCGACGCCAGCACCGCCCATGGTGCGTACCCCAGGCAGAAATGTGAGGATAAGTAGAGCACAACTCTATTCTTTATTACACAAATTTAAGAATTTGCCAGGCTGTGGGGATGGAGTCCTCTGCTGCCCAGGTGTGGTTGGGTAGGAGAGGACGGGCTGGTCCTTCCTCGCCCTTGTCACGTCTGCAGCAGCTTGAGGTGGCAGCGGCTGAGGGGTGAGGCTGGTGGAGCTCTTGTGCTTGGGACTTCCCAGTGCTTGGGACTTCCCAGTGCTTGGTGCAGTGCACCCTGCTGCCTCCTCCTTTGGCAAGGAGACCTGCCTCCTCAAGACCTTGTTTGACTTTGAAGAAGGAAAAATTCCCAGTTTCATTGAAAACTAATGTTCCGCGTATTTTTTCCCTCTCCGTTGGTTGTCAAATAATAGAGCGGTAGTTTTCTATTTTGCCAACAGAACTAAAGCCAGGAAATACCAAGTAACTAGTTTGTGCTTTGATCCCTTTGCAGTTTGACAAATACCCTACAAAAGTTGACCCCTTCTACCGTCACAGTGTGAGTTTTATTGCTCTGTTTAAACCTGACTTAACTGCTTTTCTGTGGTGGGTTGGGCTCACCAGGCAGCCGATGGCGCGGGTGTCCAACCACTCCCTGATCATCACTCCAGGATTCACCATTGCCCTTCTTGGTTGCTTGGACTTGGGAAAGCTTGCATTCATGGTGCTTGTTTCTGGTAAAGATGCAGTATCAGCTTTTCCAATCAAAAGATCCCTTGCTCGTGCACCCATTTGAAGGCAGGTTTGATGTGAAAAAGATGAGACAGAAGAGCTGACTATTCCATGGAAGCAGGAGAGAGCAGTAATTTCATCACTGTGTTTCAGTTGTGCCACAAGCGCTTTGACTGATATTTTTCCTAAGAAACTTGAAATGAAATGACAAACTATCATACAAATCCTTCAGGGATAGGTAATCTAATAGTTTTCCTAGTATATCTTATTTTGTTCTATAAAATCTGAAGCCTCGTCTTGTTCTTCAGATTTCAAAGGCACATCTGATCCACTGGGCTTGTTAGGTTTTGAAAGCTCTGTTTGATGACAGCAGCATGAATCCAGCTATGCACTAGATGTGTTTATCTAAGAGCTACCAAAACTGTTTGGTGGGGGGTTTTTTTGGTACATGAACTGATTTTTAATATTCCAGTTAATTGTAAAGCTCTTAAAGGTACAAATCTATCCGTTAATTTGCTGCTGAACTTGACGGTTGGACTCGGTGATCTTTAAGGTCTTTTCCAACCCAGGTAATTCTGTGATTCTGTGAAATATGGGTTGCATTTCCTTCATCATATTGGCAGAGGCAGCTATCTGGTTGAATATGACAAGAATTCCTAAACCCAATAGTGATATTTTGATGAGGGAAGGAGTACTGCATCAGCACTCAGAAATCTGCAAAGCACTTGGCTTTATGTGTTGGTTTTGCTTAGAAGTGGAACTGGGCAAAAAAAAACTGGTTAAGGTGATGGTGTGATGCTTTCTGCTGTACCCATTAAACACAGTTCCTGCTAACAACTCGTGCCTCTAGTAGGTGTGAATAGTCCTCTTAATTCTGACACCTTGCTTGGGTGACTGTCAGCTTATGAGTGTGTTTGCAGGAGCAGAGCTCTAGGTGTGTTAGGCAAACAGTGAAGCCTGCGATAATCACTTTCACTCTAAGGGGTAATGCTGCTCATTTGCATCATTATTTGCAAAACTGCCCTCTTATTTGCTGAGCTTTACATGGATTCAAAAGATAGATGATCATCAATGTGGAGTGTTGATTCAAGCGAGAGCACGGAACTGGGAAATAGGTAAATGAATTCTAGACAAATAAAGCACTCAAGTTGACATGTAATACAGGAAACATTGCACAAGTCTCCAGCTGTGTATGCTTTTCAAATTCAGTGACACAATCTCTCATAAATCTGGCAGCTGCCTGCACTGTAGGTCATGGTATTGCCCCCTGTAAAGGAAGGAAAGGCTTCAGATTGCTCTGGTAGCCAGTGAGCTGTGCTGTTGAACTTGGCAGAGCTCCACCAGCAGAGGGCTGGTCCATTATGCCTCCCCTGCCTTTCCTTCAAGAAAGGTTTGTGCTTGGGAAGTGGTTGCAAAATAATCACTGTTGGGTCTGTTGGATAGTGAGCAAGTTGCTACCAGAAGATCAACATGATAGCTACAGATTACATGGGGTGAATAGTCTGTCTGAACCTGCAGCAAGGCCGCACTAGCCAGGGTAGTTCAGTCATCTCTTCTGCTGTAAATAGAGATTATGTAGGTAACAGGACCTGCTTGCTTCAGTTTCCTGAGTAGCTGCACCATCAACAAGCTTAACTGCCTGCCCAAGAGGGCTTTTCCTGTTGTAAAAATGCTGTGAAACTGTGGCACTTCCATAGACCTTTTCCGAGTGAGAAGAGGTTCCCCCTACAGATCCACACTAAGAATTCAGATGCCTAAAAAAAAGCTGACCATGATTTTTAAAGTTTCTAAGTGAACTTTGCATGAGAACAAGGTCTGAGTGTTAAAATCAATGTACTTTAGAACAGCTCACACAGAAGCTCATGTAGATATTTAAAACAGTTTTCTTTCTTGGCATCTTTGATTTTACAATTATTTCATTTTTGGGAGGCCCTCACTGTAGCACAGGGAGGCATTGATTTTATTTACATCTAATACTGGGTCTAGATAAGTGTGACATTGCACTTGGCCCCAGGAAGGCTGTGGGTACTATATTGTTCCCTGAAGAAACTTGAAGGGGGAAAATGTTGCTCAAAATAGAGGGAGAAAAAGAAACACAACACAACCCAGTCTGTGATTCTATGGTGACTATGAAAGATGCACTTAGGAAGCTGGAGCAACTTAACTGATACAAAGAGATCCTGCAGATAAAATATTTACATTTTATTACTAATTCTGACCTTGAAGAAAGGTCACATTTAATTAACTTACCAGTTGTTATAAAACTCTAAGGAAAGAATTCCTTATTATTAGTCATAGCCAATAGAATATTAAGCATTGTGTCTCTTTCCATCGCTTGGAATTAGTCCATTACACACAGAATTAAATGCAGAAGACACTGGAGGATTTAAAACACATTTTACTCATTAAAAGTTATTGTAAATGAGGACTTGTGTCTCATAATGATTTCTCAAATGTTTAGTATCAACTAATCTAAAAATGCTTTCTGCATCACTGAATGGAGCAGGTCCAAACTAAATAGAACTAAAAACAACAATAGAAATGTGTTATGAAAGGAGACTTGTTTCTATGCTTTTAACCCAGAAAATCTTTTGATACCTCTAAAATACTGCAGTATTTTCTCAGCTTTCAGTAAATATAACATGAATAGATGACCTTGCAAGATAAGCTAGTGGAAGGAAAACTGATTAAGAAAATCCATACAATATGCCTGGCATAAACAAATTCATCAAACCCTGTGATACTGATTTACTCTGGGGTGTGATTGTCTCAGTGTTTGCCCACTCTGCATGTCCAGTCTTTTGCTTTGCCCAGTCCTGCTTCTGTTCAATTGGCCATTAACTCATTTATTTTGATCTTAAAAGTAGCATACAGCAGATTCATCTTTTATCAGCTGTGGTCAGAGGTGAATGTTTATCAGCCAGATAAACCCCTTTAGGTTTTTGGGTGGCAGTACCATCAGAGTTAGCAGCTATCCCATTAGACCCTGAGGCTTCACAGGGAGAACATATTTGGAGAGTGATGCCTTGAACCCCAGACTCCTACCAGACAGCAGTTTGGTGTGTAATCTCTGCATTTTCCATAGAATTGGGCACGTTCACTCTCTGAAAGCATGAGGAAAAGATTGACAGCCAGACCACAGAGACAAGATAAGCTTTGGATGTTATAGTTTACCTGCTGGTTTCCCTTGTACTTGTTTGCATTAGCACAGAGCAGCTTTTTCTTTTGTTTCTCCAAATTCTCTTAGAACAGATATTTGGGGATCAGTGAGGTCTGTGGAGATGTGTAATTTTTTATGCTTAGTAGTCTGTCTTTATAAAGCCATACCTTAAATTTTTGGGGGTGGTTCTGCTCTACCATTTTGTTTACTCATAGAATGGTTTGGGTTGGAAGAGACCTTAAAGATGGTCTAGTTCCAACCCCCCTGCATGGGCAGGGACACCTCCCACTAGAGTATTATTTAAATAATATTTTTTAACAGATCGGATTGTCTCTCTATTCATACTAGAGGTGGCAGGATATCCTCTCAGACAGACTAATGAATTAAGAATTGTGCATATTTTCCTCATTTCCTAGAGGGACTATTAAATTCCTAAGGGACTAATGGACTTGGAATGATACAGTGTCCTAGAGCTTGTAAGGTGTTTTTTTCCTCTCAATTGGTAGATTTTTGAGTCTCATCTGGCTCAGTATTCTGCCTTTTCTGTTGAAATGGCTTGCAAACTGAAAACATTTAAAACCTCTATCCAATTAAAAAATGAATAATTGTAAATAAAGTCTCTTTCACTATGAAGGCCTAATCCAGGGGACAGGTTGCTGGCTTTCTGATTTTGGAACTGCTTTTAAGCTCTAAACTTCATGACATTTGTGAACATTTCATCAACTGCTTTAACTAACATTGTTGCAATGAGATCACTTCTTCAAGGCTTCTCAGTTTTCTCCATGTACCATTGTCCCATTATTATGCAGGAATGCTTCCTCTGTCTTGCTCAGCTTTCTGTCTTCATGTTGACCTGCACATGGACTTATGTTCCCGTGTCTTTTTCTTACAGCTGTTTCACTCCTATCCTCCAGCTGTATCAGGTATTCCACCCATGATTCCTCCAACTGGTCCCTTTGGCTCACTACAAGGAGCCTTCCAACCCAAGGTAAGAAAGGAATTATTTGTCTGTCACTACTCAGCTACCCTGGTCCTGTGAGCCAGGTTAGGTTGAAGTTTAGAACGTGGTTCAGGTTGTGGAGCAGCAGAGATCTGAGTTACAGCCTCATTCCACAGAGGACAATTGGCTTTTTGCAAATGTACTACAAAGAGAAGTTATTTCCCATTAGGTGCAGCTCTATCCACATACATATATTTTTTTAATTATATATAATGGCATAGTTAACTTTAGAAGTAATATAGTTGGTTCTCAGATAGTACACATTAATGTAAGGTCATGGAATAATCAAGATTTTAAGAAACCATGATCATTATTGTTTACTCGTTTCCATAATGGTCTCGTAGCTCCACCACAAAGCATTTCCCTGATCTATTTCTCCTCTCATTTCTGACAGCCTGGATAGATAAATGGGACGGGTTGGGGTTTTTTTCCTTCTGTTTTCATGAAGTCACTCCTGATTTATAAGTGGGAGGAAATCATATTCTGTAGTCTTTGCAACTAAAGACTGAAATCAGGACTGAAATTTCTGCAGCGAAGACACCTTCTTGCTTAAATTGGCCAATCCACTGTAATGACTGAATATGTAAATTGCAGTTCATTAGTGGAATTCTTCATATGTATGGTAATGAGGCTGTTAACAACTCTGTTACTTAATTGTTGGTTATACTGTAGCTGATTTCTTTTTTCCTTCATTTGAACATAGGGAGATGCTCTAAACGTAGGGGGAGGCGTTTTTGGAGTGTTGGGGTTTTTTTTTTCACAAATATGAGTTTTGTTACATTAGCTGAATATTTACATTCAAATCATGGGAAAAGCTTGAATTTTTTTTCAACTGGGTCTTGCCTTTTCCAGATATCTGTCTGGTAACATTTCATTGGGGATGGAGATGAGATCCTGGTAGAGTGACAGATGAGTGGTGCTTTGTGTGCTGACAGTCACTTAGCAGTTCTAGCCAGTTCCAGTGCATTCTTGATAAGCAGCAGAGCTAAAGTTTGGTCCTCCAGACACTGCTTGAGACCCCCTGTCAGGGTTGCTAATCAGGTTTTCAACAGTGGAAAGATTTTCACTGTTCCCTCATATGTTTTGGATTACTTCAGGTAATGAGGAGTTGATGCACAGTGACAATTTGAAAATTGGTATTATAATATGTATATTAATAAGTGGATTATAATGCTTATCCATTGCTTAGGCAAACTTAATGATCAAGAGGTATGATTTTTCACTTTCTGTTTCTTTTATGTATTGTTTCACTCATTAATACTGTCTTTCTTTGTGATATTTCTAGACTTCCAATCCTATTGATGTTGCAGCCAGACCTGGAACTGTCCCACATACCCTTCTACAAAAAGATCCACGGGTCTGTAGGAAATGTTACATTTTTTTCAAGTAAAGCTGTTCCTATTTAAAACCTTGAATGCTAGAGCTGCCATATTCAGTATGTCCAAATTAACATCCTAAAACTAAAGTTTAGTCTGAAGTCAATGAGAACTAGAGATCCTGTGTGAGAACAGTATCTGAAGGGGCTACAGGAAAGCTGAGGAGGGACTTTTTATAAGGGCTTGTAGCAAGAGGACAAGGGGTAATGGATTGCAACTGGAAGAGGGGAGATTTAGGTTAGACATTAGGAGGAAATTCTTTTGTGTGAGGGGGTGAGACCCTGGCCCAGGTTGCCCAGGGAAGCTGTGGCTGCCCCATCTCTGGCAGTGTTGAAGGGCAGGTTGGATGGGGCTTGGAGCAACCTGGGCTGGTGGGAGGTGTCCCTGCCCATGCAGGGGGGTTGGAACTGGATAAGGTCCCTCCAACCCAAACCATTCCATAATTCTATGAAGAGTTTAAATCCTGATGCCTTACTTGTGTTCATCATGAGCAAAGCAAACAGACCCTCTGCAGCAGAAGAGCTCTCCCCTTGCAGTCTCCAGGCAGCCTCACAGGCCCAGATGCAAAGGCATAAAAGTCTAATTCAACGTAGAAATGTACAAACCTCTTCAGGATTTATGTTTATACTCTGTAATTGTTTTTAATCTGGGTAATGACAGTTATTCCCTGGGTTCCTGTACCATTGATTGCAGCAGTGAAATACGGATGCACTTTATTGATCACTTGGCGCCTCCGGGTTGCTGAGTTCTGGCGTGTGAGCAGCAGTCCCAGGTCTTTGCCTCTGAGCCTCTTCCTGTTCCTCTCCAAATGCTCGTGGCTTGTTTGTTGGTTTAAATTCACATCATCATGCAGTCCTGGTTTTAGCAGAATTCTCTGACCCAAAAAAAAGGGGAGCTTTGAAAATCCACGTTGTGGTATCACTCAACTTTTACGTATATCAGAGCTTAATTTTTGGAGGGTGATTGTGCCAAGTTCCAGTACTTTGGTTTGCACTGAATTGGTGCCGTAGTTGGGCTTTGTACCTAAAGGAACCATGTTTTTTCTTTTCTGTTTATGCCATCTAATTGCAGAGCCTCCCATCATTAAGTCATTTGGTTTTATGTCCCTTTCAGCTGGTAGTGCAGGTTCGATTATTTCAGGATGATGTCTTGGGCCATCACTCAGTCTGCAGGGTATAAATCTCCTTTAGTGTTGCATCTCAAAGAAGAAAATCCAGAACAAATGAGAAGTACTCAAGAAATTGAGGTTTTTTTCCAGCGTTAATTGATGAAGTGGAAGCAAAAAAGGAGAATAAGAAAATAATCTACCCATGCCACAAAAATAATGAGAACATTGGTTTTTCATACAGCTGCTGTTTGCCAGCATCTGTTCTGATGTGAGACACATCTAAGGCAGAGCCCATGTGTGACAGAGAGCACATGAGCAGGCAGGCAGTAATGGCTGAGTGTACAAATCAAGGCCTAATGCCATAGCCGTGCAACAGACACAGTCACGGGTTTGTGGGGGCACATCTGAACCACCATTCCAGCCATTCCAACCCAGTATGTGGCATCAAGCCTGAGAAAAAGTGGCCCTGCCCACCAACCAACCTTCTTGGGAGCTGAGCGACTTTGAAAGATGAGAACAGAAGTTTGCCCAAAGGATAGATCTGCGTTTTGCTTTTGAGCTGTTAACCAGCCATTTTTGTAGCATTAAGTCAACAAATTACTGATGGTGCCAGAGGACAGAATGCTCTGTGAGGCTTGTTTAGTTGCTTCTCAACACTTGGGTACAACAGCCATGGGGGGAGGGAGAGCAGCTCCAATACAGAGGCTCAGGACTAATTATTATCCAAAAGGGCTTCATTTGAAAGTAAAATTATAACATTTTAATTTCATCTCTTAATGAAGCAATACAAATTTGTTAATTAGAGCAATTGTTTGAGTGACAGGCATGTAACCAAGCTGTCATTTCTTCTTCACAGTTGACAGATCCGTTCAGGCCCATGTTGAGGGTAAGAAATCTTCTTCTGATACAGTTTGTCAAGCTCATCTCGGTCCCCACCGGGTTACGGCAGCAGGCTAATTAGAAAGCAAAGAGTGGTTCAGCTTGGGTGTTTTACACTGGGTTTGTTGAGCAGGGTGTTCACTCCTTTGGCTGTGTGTCTTGCAGGCACCCAAGGGAAATCCACAGTTTCAAAATGGGGAGTTTTCTGTCCTGCTCATGCAACCCCCCAGCATGAATACTAGAGCTTTCATGTGGATCATCCTGCTGTCATGCTGGCTGAGTGTCCTGAGCTCAATCCTGTCATGTCACTGCAGACTGGAGGATGTTGCTTTTTATTATTTAGTGTATTTTCAGTGTTACTCAGTATGGTCCTTCCTACCTAGTATCTTACTGTCTGGTACTGACAGGCAGTCCACTTCAAACAGAAAATATTTTAGAAATGAGGAACAAGGGATCCAGTCTCTCAGTGACACAGAAGGGTGGGTTGTTGAATTTTTCAGCATGTTCAAGAAAATACAACCAAGTGAAGTTATTAAAGCACCAGCATAGGCAGGTGCTGTGAGTAAGCAAAAGGCTTTAGAGGAGTATGTGGGTGAGATGGGTTTATTTTTCTGTGGTTTTAATTGTTAGTTGATATACACCTGGAAATAGAAGGCAGACCATATGCCATAGTTTGTGAACATTTATGCTAACAGTAGCTTGAGGAGCTTCTGGAATTCCTGTGATTATTTTTAAATCTGCAGGAATCATTAGTTGTGTAGTTAGCTACAAGCCCCTAAATAATAAAACTGGAGAAAGTGTATCCTGAATGAGACTTTTTGAGACAAGATTTCTGGATGTCCTGGAAGTGGAGTAGAGAATCAACAGAAAAACCCAAATAGTACTCTGCTTCTTTCCTCCCTCTCTCCTCCACATGCAAAGCCTGGTGACAGGAAGGACACGAAGAGTCTTCCCAAATGGTGAATTGACTGACCTCCATTTTTTCAGTATATTTAGGAGGCAAAGTTTTGGAGGTACAGAGCAGCAATTATATGAGGGAGTAATTTTGAAAACCAGATGAATCTTACAAAGTGCTTTCATTTTCATCTTCTGATAGAAAGGCTGGTCCTAGAACAGCTGCAGTGTCAGAAGTGACCTCAGTGTGCAGTTGTGAAGCAGCCCAGCTCTGCAGAGCAGCTGCTGACTGGGAGGCAGGTTCATTGGTTTCAGCAACACAAGCTGCATTCTCAGCCAGAGGCATCAGAAGGTTGCAAGAGTGCATGAAACCTGAGCATGGGCTTATTTGGAGAGGAGAGTAACCAGGAGCATTTGTGGATTTCCAGATAAACTTCTTAGAAATTAACAGTTTCTTTGCATTTCTGGTTCCCCAAGAGGACAGAGGGGGAAGCCACTGGAGGGAGAGCCTTTGCTTTCAGTTGTCTGGGTGTGTGGGATCCCCTAGGCCAAACCAGGCTGGGCTAAGAGTTGGCAAATGTTGCTCTAGCAGGAATAAAGCATCACAGGCTTTTGAAAGTTGCTGGTTCATGTTGTATCCATTTGTTTTTTCCAGAAACCTGGGAAGTGGTGTGCTATGCATGTTCACATCGCCTGGCAGATCTACCATCACCAACAGAAAGTCAAGGTCAGTCTTCCCTGCTCTCCAGATGAATTGCACGGGGAAGCTGGGGGAGGGAGGGTTTGCCCCTTGCTGTGAGCAGTTCTGTGCCGTGGCTGATGCCTTGTGAGGGTCACCAAATGCAGCATGATAGCACACCTGCCATTTCCTAGTCATGGCATATTGGAATTCAAAACCTAAAGGCAGAGTCTCAAAGGAATGTCTGTGATGCCGTGGGGCAAGGACACCAGATCTGAGGTGATAACAACCAGTTTGTAGCTTGGCAGAGGTAGGTGTGCCTGCTGTTATTCATGGCTGAGGACACAAACACAGGAAGATTAAGCTGTGTGAAGCAGGGAAGCTAGTCATGTGTATCTCATTCCTCTTACTAATATTCACAGACAGAAGAGGGCACAGGAAGGTTTCTCCTGTCCCTACAATGCTTCATCCACAGTGGCTGCACAGGCTCCCATCAGTCTTTTTCCACAACGCATCTCCCAGCTGGAGGTTGGCACCTCTGCCTGTCTGGGCTGGTCAGGCAGATGAAGTCATGTTGTCCAGACACTGTCTCATTGCACCAGAGGTAAAGGGGTGCAGATCTTTTCTTTGTTATGCCTGCTTTGAGACTTGAAGGGTAAAGGCCATGGCCAGTTTAGACTCCTGAAATAAGATGTCAGAAAAAAACAAACAAGGTATTTATTTAATAGTTAGGGTGTTCCCATTCTTACTTTGACTGTGTTTTCATTGCACATGGACTCACTGAAGGTTTCTTTCCCTTTGTAATATTTTCACTGAACTAGTCACTGAAAAATTCTGTGGTGCTCCTGAAATTTTTCAGTCAGTGAGGAGGGGCTGGTGATTACTGTTTGTCCTTGTACTTCAGGAGTCACTAGCTTGGCTTAGAAGGTAAAATGAACAAGGAGTCCCCAGCAGTTTGCAGTCTGTGGATGCAATGGAGTTGTCTAAGGTAGTGCTGGAAGAATATGAAGATGTTGAGCAGCTACTAAAACCTGCAGCTAATAGAGTTTAAAAATAACCCTTTTAAACAAGGTTGACAGGTTAATTTGCTGCAGGAGACATATCTCTCTTCTCTGCTTCCTTATGTTTCCCCTGCTAGTGATCTTCATTCATCTTCCCATTATCAAAAAAGACAAGATTATAGACCTAGAGAGTTATATGTCTTTTTCCTTTTTTTTTTTTTACTGAAAAGGTATTTTCTTGAAATGAAATTATGATCCCCATGCTATCTATGTCCTTTGTATCTTCCTTGATTTGATATTCAGAGAGAGGTCATACTGGTGTTTTTATAATTCACAGTAAATGCCATTTTCATGCAGCCATTTCTCTTACCTAATACTTTCCTGCCTTGCATGTTAAAAAACAGGAATAAACTACAGCAAAGGATGTTCCTTGACTTTTTGAGGCTGTGCATGACAATAATTTCAAGAATAATTGGGAAATGTATTTCACTATCTCAGCTCAGTCAGAAAACTAGGCATGGTGTCCAGTCAGTAAGGAGAGTTGGTTTATGCCCCCTTGGGCTCTCTCAGACTCTCCCGTGGGAGTGAAGTCCCCTCTGCATGCAACCACCAAGTGTGAAATCTCCAGCTGAAGGCTCATACAGAACTATTTCTCCTTCTAGCCCAGGGTTGTAAAGGTGCCTTTTCTTCTGCACAAGCTGAAGATGCTGCCTGGCTGTAGAGCAGGGAATAAAATACATTTACAGAGATATTTCAAGTTTGCATGCAGTGCCACCAGACTGCTTGCAAAGTATGGAAGAATTGGTAACTGTCTGGCCTGCTAGTAATTGCTTGCAGAGGGCAACAGCAGACACTGAAGAAGCAGGAAAATGAGAAACTTTAAAACTCAACCTTCCTGACCCCAGGACAAATTGCATGCAGCTGTGGATGCTGTTTGCCTCCCTACAGCTCTGCACCAAGACCCAGCTCAGACCTGAGTAACCTGTCTGCACTCCCAGGGAGTTCCTCAGACCCAGGGTTGCACACCAGCTCTGGGCACAAAGCTGTTTTACACACCTGCCTAGTGCCTTCCTGGCTGGGATTCAAGAGAGAATTTATGCCCCATAATTGGCTCTCTGTCTGCTAGGAAAGGCCTTATGGCTCCATCTAACCTGCCATGAAATCAGTGCAGACACTGCCACTGGTTTTAGTGGGCCCTGAGTTAAGGTGGGGCTTCAAATACACTGGTAAGGGTTATCATCCAGAGTTGTGCTCTTCTGAACAGCATCTGGGGTTAAAATAAATCTGATACATTTTCTTTGGTATGATTTTAGGGTAAGCCAAGACATTCAAAACTCCTTTAAAACATCCATGATATTCCTGTTCCTTTTCAGACAGGAGGTTTTTCTCATTACTGGAACAGCACCATTTATATGGCTGCCAATAAAGTTGCAGCCTTTTGCTGTTCTGAGAAATGGCTGTCAGAGTTCTGTAACTTGGTTGTTAAAAAGAAGAATAAAATGAATTCACAGCATAAAAACCTGGCACGCAGGCTTCACCTGAGGCCTTTTTATTTTCTGAACTTAGTTATTAAAGCACAGGACCTGGACAGGCTGGGTTGATGTGCTGAGGCCAATGGGGTGAAATTCACCAAGGGCAAGTGCAGGGTCCTGCTCCTTGGCCACAATCACCCCCTGCAGAGCTTCAGGCTGGGGAAGAGTGGCTGGAGAGCAGCCCAGCAGAGGGAACTGGGAGCACTGGGTGACAACTGGTGGGACAGGAGCCAGCAGTGCCCAGGTGGCCCCAAGGCCAGTGGCATCCTGGCTTGTGTCAGGAATGGTGTGGCCAGCAGGAGCAGAGATGTGATTCTGCCCGTGCTCAGCACTGGGGAGGCCTCAGCTCCAGTCCTGGGGCAGCTCTGGGCCCCTCACTGCAAGAAGGAGCTGGAGGTGCTGGGGCAGGTCCAGGGGAGACAACAGGGCTGGGGAAGGGACTGGAGGGAAAGTCTGACAGGGATGGGCTGAGGGAGCTGGGGGTGTTTAGCCTGGAGAAGAGGAGACTCAGGGGGGACCTTCTCACTCTCTCCAACCACCTGAAGGGAGGTTGTGCTCAGGTGGGGTTGGGCTCTTTTTCCAGGCAACCAGTGACAGGACAAGAGGGCCTGGCCTGAAGCTGCTCTAGGGGAGGTTTGGGTGGGACATCAGGAAGCACTTCCCCATGGAGAGGGTGATCAGACATTGGGATGGACTGTCCAGGGAAGGGGTGGAGGCACCATCCCTGGAGGTGTTCAAGGCAAGGCTGGAGGTGGCATTTGGTGCCCTGGTCTGGAGATGTGGGGGTGTTGGTCATGGGCTGGACTTGATGATCTCAGAGGTCTTTCCCATCCTCAGTAATTCTGTGTGATTCCTGTGTGAATTCTGTGTAACTTGGCCATCCTTTCCATTTCAATGCTCTTGCAGGCCATTATCTCAAAACTTTGATCAAGACTTTTTTTTGCAGCCTTTTTTTTTGGGGGGGGAGGAGGAGGAGGGGAGATTATTCTCATAGCTAATAGATATGTTGCTAACAGTTGAAAAACAGCTACTAGGCCTGCACATTAACTTGGTCATAACTTTTTAATATGCATATTTATATCATTGTAATGGTCTGTACTCTGAGCTGCCACTGTATTAAATACTGATTTATAAAGCGTAACTTGCTCCAGAGTTACTGTTAAGATCTACTGGCTCAATGTTACACATTCGTAAATCCTTCCAGCTGACCTGCACAATTAATCAGCAATCTGTGTTTGGGGAATTCTGGCAGCACAGGTGACAGGGAATTTGATTTTCCTCTGCATTCTATAAAACTATTGAAGTAGGGGCCAGTGAAACGAATAGATGGCACAACAAGCCCATCCTTCATCCACGCAGTGTTTACAGTGCAGCTACCTCAGCAAATTTACCTTAAAAAAAGTCTGCTGATTCCACTCCAGAGAGTGACAGTCAGTGCTCTGGATGTGGAGTGGGAAAAATGGGACTTCAGTTCTTTAGTCTCAGAAACATTTGATCTGTAATCCAATTCATTTTGGTCCCCAGCTCGCTCAGCTGCAGCTGAGAGGCACGGGACACACTGCTTCAAGTGTCCCTGGGTTGCAGCTCCAGCTGGAAAATGAATGGTTCTGGTGTCCATTGATTGCCACTGCTGGAACTGTCTGGCAGGGGGTTCCTGCAGTGGGAAGAGGGTCAGTTGGCAGCTCTGCCTGGCCAGTTGATTCTGTCAACCAGCCTTTCATACCCCTGCCCACCTGGGATCAGCTCCAAACTCACGCTGCTCTTTGGCTTCACTTTAGATGTTTGGAGGCAAAGCTGCTCCTGCAGCTCAGCAAGTGTCTGAGGCCTCTGCAGAGACTGATGTTTGTTCTGTAAGTCAGGGGTGTGCTGAAGTGCTTTGCTCCAGAGGGATGGATGTGAGCATATGTGAAAGTACTGTTGAAATCTGTGGGAAATGTGCCTTGGGAGCTTGAGATTTTCCCTCTTCCAGGAAAATAGCTGTGCACCTGTGCTTGGAGCCCCAAAAACTACTATTCTTGTTAAAATGTCAGTTAGCATGAATACATTGCTGTGCTCACATCACTCTGAGTGTCTCTTGCTGCTGCTGTCTTTTAGGACGGTGTCTTCCAAATCCTATTTTTCCATTTCAGAAACAGATGCAGTCTGATCCACACAAGCTGGACTTTGGCCTGAAACCTGAATTTCTGAGCAGGCCACCAGGCCCCAGCCTTTTTGGAGCCATCCACCACCCCCATGACCTGGCCCGGCCCTCCACTCTCTTCTCCACAGCCAGTGAGTACTGAGAAGTGAAATCTCCTTCTTGTGGCTTCCTCATTAAAACAATAATCCTTGCCATGTTAACAGGGAATTCCCCAGATGTTTTGGCTTATGAACTCTCTGCAAGACATGCCCAGGGCAGTTAGTCAATTTGATAATAGATGCTTTTAAAAAAGCCCAACCTACTGAAATGCCATGCAGGTAACAAGTGGAGGAACATTTCTTCACACAGTGAAGTCTGATGCATCATGGAGATGACAGGTTGGAAATATGCTGGATCTTACATGCCTTTTTTGTTTCCTCTGTACTGAACCATCCTCCCCTGCCCCTTATACTCTACCTGGGAATTTCTGTTTAGAAAAGCAGCTGCTGTTTGCACAGGGCCCTGACCCCAGAATCCCTGCCCAGAGTTCAGCAATCTCTGCTCACAAGAGCTGCCGAGCCCAGTGCACAGTGAGTCCCTTTCTGAGCTTTTGCTGGGAATTCACCCTTTTTGCTTTGTTTTGGCAGGTGGGGGTCATCCAGCTGGCACCCCTTTCGGCCCACCACCTCACCACAGCAACTTTCTCAACCCAGCTGCTCACTTAGGTACGTTCTTTCTGCAGCCAACTAACGGGGAGCACAGCTCAGAGGTACCACACATTGACCTTTGCAACCATTAAAGGTTGCCCACTGGAGACTCTTGGAGTGTCCTGCCTGCTTAACCTTTACAGACTGACCATTTTAGCCATTTAATTTTAGTGACTGCCCAAGTAGCAGCTCTAAAAACACATAATAGTAGCACTGACAGCATGTTTTGAAATACTTCTGAACACTGGCTGTTAGAGGAGCAGTGACAGGGCTGGTTAGGTTTCGTTGTAGTCATGTTTATAAACCAGTCAGAAAAATGCCTTAAGGTGTTAAGGCTTCAGTTCATAGAGGGCTTTCTGGTCCTAACTCGTACTTGAATGTCTGCTTTTCATTTAAGTCAGTGGGAAACATATCCTTAAAATCTTGTGATCTGGCCTTGAATTTGTCTCTTGGTGAAAATTAGTGAATACACATTTAAAACGGGTTACCTGATGTTGCTATTTCCCTTTGAACTTACTGATGGGGTACCAAGGTGTCTGCTGCCTGTGAGAGCACCCCAGATCAAGACTCTAAATTGGCATTTAATTTTGCACAGGAAAGGCCTTGGGATGGTCACCAACTTGATACAGCAGACTCGTGATACAGGCTTCTAATTCTGCAGTTGATTGGCTCTAGAAAATGCCAAGTCTGAGCTTCCTTTTCTCTGGGCTGGTATTATCAGAAGTAATTTCATCAAAACCATTTCAATTCTCCAAAGTAAAGGGAGAGGAGAATTTACTTCATATGACTGACTTAAAGTCTATGTTCACTAGGTACTAAAAAAGCTTATTCTAGTATTTTTCAGTCCATAACAGTTTGTTGTAATATTAGCAATAAGTATCAGGAGAATTACAGACTGCTCAGGCCAGTGTGACATGTCAGTGTAATAGCACATTTAATTTCCATCCTGGCTGTGCTTTAGGAGACATGGCCTGAAGGTGTTCTGGGGCACAGGTGCCAGAGTTAAGAGTAGTCTTGCTGGCCAGGGACATTTCCTGAGAAAGACCTAGGACTGAATTGGAAGGGAATAAAAGGAAAGGAAAATGAAGATGTTTGCAGGTTTTAAATGAACCATTTACTTATGCAGAGCTAGAGGCATCAATACCATGTATATTTTAACATCTTGTTTTTCTTTGAAGAGGAAGGGTTTCTGCTGAGCTGATCCCAAGCATTCAGTCATTGGGAAAACCAGCATTTTTTTCTGCCCCATCCCCTCACAATCCCCACAGTGTTGTGGGATGTTCAGCTGCTGTAGGGCACAGCCAGAGTATCACAGTTTGACTCAGGATCAGCAACAATGCTCTTCATCCGCTCCCTCTTCCCACCCAAGTAGGGAAGGAGAGAGAGAATGAGGAGAGAGACTCTGGATTGAAAACTAAACTACACAGCTTTAATTAAACACCAATGATAAAGGAAAATATATACAATTATATATAAGTATGTTCAGGAATGTGCAAAAGCTTCTCGCCTCCCCCCACCCCCAGCAACTCCCACAGCATCTCCTGAGCTACAAACAGTCCAAAAAAGTTCTGGAGCTGCCAGAGAGCACAGAGTGATGAGGGTCAGGAGAGCTGCGGCCTGGGGGTCCACAGTGAGGGATGCACGGAGTCCTCCCTGGACGCTGGCCGTGGTCAGAAGGGAAGGGAAGAAGAAGCAGGAAGGAAATTGTCCTCTGTGATCTCTGTCCTTCCCTCTGAGCTTACGTAGATATATGGAATGGAATATCTCTGGCCAGTTTTGCTGTCTGTCTAACTCAGCCTCCTGTGGAGAGGTCCTAGATCTCCCTGTAGTGTCTGAGGGCAAAGACGTGACCTTGGAGTCCCAGCAATAACACAGACATCCAGCATTTGTTACTGGTCCAAGCTGGAACACTTACAGAGGGGAAAAAAATCTGTAAAAATGCCTTCATCCTGGCTCAGACCAGGACGCAGAGCTTTCATGCAGCTGTAGTGCAGTTGGCTAACATGCTTGATGGTCATTCCAAGCTGGCAGTGAGCTGCAGCTGTTTGCCTTGGTTTGCAGAGCCCTTCAACCGGCCGGCCTCCTTCAGCGGGCTGACGGCGGTGGGGAGCAACGCCTTCGGGGGACTGGGGAACCCCACAGTCAGTGAGTAACCTCTCTGTTTATGCCTTCTGATTTGCTGGGTAATTCAGGCTATTGAGTGATGGTCACTATTTGCTGTCTTTTTAAACCAGTTGCTTAGACCACATACCACTAAGAGATGGGACTTTGAAAAGTGGCCCTTTTTTATCTCAATCATCATTTTTTCGTCATCGGTAAATTATTTTCTGAGTTACTTAATAGTTTGGGTTCAACATAGTGCTAAGTGTCACCATTGCATTGCTCAGTAAAAGAGGAAGAACCCCAAGCATGTAGAACCTATAAGTCTTAAGGAGTCTGTGACATTTCTTGTGGTTTTGTTGCATGTTCAGAGACAGTTGGTGTGTGCAGCATCCCTAGCTGTCAGTGGGAACATTTTTTATTTCCTTTCTCACTAGTAATCCAGAACATGTGCCTGGGAAAGACCACTAACCTGCATTTATTTGTCCAGGATCATCAACATTTCTCTAGATTTGAACAGTCACAAAAGATCATTCTATTAAAAATCACTTTCTTTCTCCATACGTCAAATATGGCATGATTTCAAGTTCAAACACAACAAGTTCCATTATTTATAGTCTGTGTCACGTTCATTTCCCGATGTCTCCAATATTTTTGGAATAAGGATCATTTTCACTTTTATCTTCCTACTTCATCCCTGGTCAATTTTATCCACAGCATTTCCCTTTCCAATTAAACAGCTGTCAGATGCCTGCCCTGTTGTTAGGAATCAGACCCTCTAATGAATCTCTGTTAATCTCCTTTCCTTTTCCAGCTCCCAATAATATGTATTCATTTTAACTGAGTGCTGTAAAAGTTTTTTTGGTAAGTACCTCCACTAGAGCATACCTTTTCCTTAAACCTTTTTGTTTTCCACTTCACCATTTCAGCACCCAACTCAATGTTCGGCCACAAGGATGGCCCCAGTATGCAGAGCTTTAGCAACCCTCACGAGCCCTGGAACCGACTGCACCGAACTCCTCCTTCGTTCCCGACCCCTCCGCCCTGGCTGAAGCCAGGAGAGCTGGAGCGCAGTTCATCTGCTGCAGCTCATGACAGAGATAGAGATGTAGATAAACGAGACTCATCTGTTAGTAAAGATGACAAAGAAAGGTACGAAAGAACACTTCCAAGAATTGTCTAGTTCAAAGCTTGGGGCTCTGTTCCGCTTTTTAACCCTTCCCAGCCTGGCACATTGTGAAACCAGAGCTTCAGCAGAGGGACGCCTGTAGAGCTGACAACCTGTTGCTGCCTGTGACACAAGGCACTACCAAGATGCAGGTTTCTGATTCAAGTAGTTCCCTCTGCATCTGTTTCTCTTCTGACTTGGCTGTCCTGCAGCAGCAGCAGCTTTGCTGGAGCAGAGCTCAGGCAGTGTCAAGTGAGAACAGAATCAGACCCACATGCTCCGTCACCTTGTGGGTCATGTTGTCACAGGTCTTTTGCAGACTGGACGAGTAGATACTTGCCTGATGGGATGAAAAAAGGATTAAAAAGTCCATCAGACACATATCTGCACCTTTGAATACTTAAATAACTTTGTAAATCAGACCTTTTCTGCAAACCCTCCTCAGAAGTGGCCTGACCAGAGGGACTGCTGATCAAATTGTAAAATTCCAGTACTGTGAAATGCAGGGGATAGGTCCTTGCCCAAAGCCACAGGAGCTTCAGTGCATGCAGTTCATGAAATCAGCCTTATTTCCCCTCAAAAAAACCACACACACATGCACTGCTGCTACACACCTTCAAGCACAGTTTTTATTTGGTGTTTTACATGGTCTTGCACACTACCATGTCCAGGCTGGGAAGGGTTAATGAAAAGTAAAACCTGGTCATATTTTTTCTGTCAGGACTGTTCCCATTATACAGTTAACTCAGTAACAATTCCTCTTAACATTTAAGTACCAAATTAAAAGAATTTGCCATTCAGCAAGTGTCATGCCTTCCTTGAAAAATGTAGAGAGGATGATATCAGCTTTTTCAGTTGTGGCTTAATGGCTTTCCTGTTAAATTTGCACATGACTACAAAATGGCTATTTGTTTCTAATTTTTTAACATAAAAGAATATTTAGGAGATTTGCTTTTCTGACTTCTCTGTCACTAACCCAAATATATGCATTAGTAGCCTTTTCTAAAAGAAGTTATGCTAACACATTAGATATTCTAAAAATACATGTAAGAGCTTTTATATGATATTGTAAAATGTAAAGAGCAAGTCAAACTACAGATCTTTTCACCTACATTTTTCATTTGGAATATTTTCTGTTTGGTAGCATAGCTTCATTATTTTCATGTCTGGTGTTAATACTTCAAAAGAAATTGCTGTTACAAATTGGGGATTCTGTCCTGCAAAATGTTTAAGCATGTGAGTAACTTTACTGGCTTGAATGGCAAAGCATTTTAGTTACTGATGATATGGGTAATCCTTAGAATAATGTGATTATTTCAGTTGCTGTTTTGTTGTTTTCTTATGAAGTGTTACTGCTGAATTCCTTTCAGCTATACATTCCTTGCAAGCTGCTTTGGCATTGCCTGAACTCCATATCATAGCTCAGAACACATTTATTTTCAATTATTTGTAAGCTTCATGCCTCATACCTCTGCACAGCTCTGGCTGCCAGTTGAGTCCAGTAATGTTTTTGCCAGTCTGGTGTTGCTGTGCCTCCCTCGGTGTGGTTTGGAAGAGCTCTACTTTGCAGCATGCTCAGCCTGTTGCCTGTATGAGAAGATGCTGAGATTCCCTTCCTGGAGACATGCTCCCTATGTAGAAAATGTCTGGAGTAGTTTTCTCTTCAGTGGCACCCAGCAGGGTGAGGATGTAGCCCTGCTTTCTAGCCCAGGTCCCAATCTCTGTTTCCTATTTTAAGCTCATTTGCCCAAACAAGAAGAACTGGGAGTCACACCTGGAGGTATGATTTAATTTCAGAATCATTCTGTCGTCTCAGGTCTAATTTTATCAGCCCCCACATGGGCTGCCTTGCCAAAAGCATTCATCTAGATTTCTTCTGTGGTCAGTGGAAAGGTGCCTCAGAGAGACCTCTTAGCTTGGCTCTTCCCCATCCAAGATGGATATTAGATCAGGGTGCAGTGTTGCTCTTTTTGCACGTTGCTCTTTTTGGACAAGCTGTATGGCCAGGGTACCACAGCCCCCTGCCAGCTAGAGTGAGATAAGGGAAATGAATATAGCTTAGATAATACCAGGCTACAATCTGTTAACCTTCCCTAGGTGCAGAGCTGGCTGAGGAGTTCCACTGCAGTGTCCTGAGACAGTCCCCTCTTTCTTCTGGAGCATCATTTGCAGCTGTGAAGCTCTTTTTTTTTGTTTGAAGGACTGCATTGCTTCAGCTCAGTGTTAGAAAAAAAGCCCATATTTCTAGTAACTATTGTCCAGGATTTGTTCCTTCTCAGTGGTGTTTTGTTTAAAAGCTGTCACTGAGCAATTCCATTCTAATAATGGCATTGAAGGGTATGTGATGCCAGAGCACTCTCCATCCAAAAGTACCTACAGGTAGAAATCTTAAGCAGTTCAGCTCAGCAAAAAAGTGCATAGCAGAAATTGTGTAGGTGGAGCAAGTGTCCACTTCAAAGTCACCCTCTGAGTTGCCCTTCAGCAGG